GGATGCTCGTAAATACCACAAACACTATTGAATAATTTGACTTTAAATTGACTTTTCTCAAAAACATGTACTTTCTTTTAAAATTATTTTTCATTGTCACTAAAATTTTCGTTTTATTGATATAAGATTTACAAGGGGCTACCGAATTCATTTTTGTTGTACGAATCCTTCAAATGTATATGTCATATTTAAAATCATGATTTTTATTTAGCGTTTCCATTTTCTCTTTGACTTATAAGTTTTAGGTGTCCCTTTGGTATCTTCCGCATCTTTTTTTAAAGTCAAAGTTGCTGAACTTGTTTTGTGATATTTACATGTATTCCTTACTTTCGTACCTCAAATTTCCGGATATCTAATTTGCTATACATATATAGGAAAGTGTACAGCTACATTTATCATTTTTCGATACTGATTGGTGTCTGCCTGTTGACTCTGACCTTTTGCGTCTTATCAACATGTTACTTTGTTGAATAAAATATTTGTCGGTGGACATTTAGTAGCCAAAAATCATGCAGTTAATCTATAATTTCACAACGTGTGTAATTTGGACAGATTTTTATTCCCTTTCATCTAATGTTTATTTTTTCCGTTCTTTTGTCCGATTATTTATGCTTTGTTTGATTTTTTTTAAACGATGGACACAAAGATTGGAATAAGATTTGTCACTTCTATGTTATGAAAATAATTTTTAAAGGTTTGATCGAGAAAAAAATATTTTAAATGCATGTATGGTTGGATCTTAACAAACTATGAGTTGAAAAAAAAAAATCATTTGAAGTGTACTTGTTTATTTGATCAAAACCTTGTCTTCATTTGTTGTTGTTTTTTTTATCCTGGTGTTATTCTGTATACTTATATATATATATTTTTACAATTCAATTGGTTGAAATATATAGCAAATTTACTGACAAAAGTGATAATTGTCTTGATATCATCAGGAGAGGACAACGCTTCTCATAGAAAAAGATAACCAAATAAACAAATAAACCTATGACAATTCTGTTTCCATTGGTACCAAGTTGATTAGATTCCAGCAGGAATTGATCTCACAATATGTTTTTGAAAATACGTAGTTCTACGGGAAATATATGACAAAAAAAAAAAACAAAAAAAACTGTAGGTTACATAACACTCCAAACGTTATCGGAACATGATTTTGCTTCGACTTATCTTTCTGCTACTTTGTCTGTAAGTACGTTTGTTTTGTAAATAGTTGATACGAGTTTTTATATAACTTCATATGCATTCAGTAAAGTTGTAGTGGAAACAGAAACCCCGAAGAAATTTATCGAATTCCAATTCAAGTCATTAAACACACATTTTCAATAGCTGATACGGGTAATTTTTTAAAGTTACTAATGTCTATTTTAGTATGAATGAAAAATAACCAACATTCCTCAACACAAATAAAACACGACATCATTTTTATGATTATCTGAACATAAAGATTTTTTTATGTCTATGTACCAAGCTAGCATGCAGGTGCTCTCGCTCTCTTTCGTTAGAATAAGATTTTGAATACAGATAAAGTAGTTTATATGATGATGTACATAAGTAATATTAGAAAAAATGCAGCTTTTTCCTGAAACCAACATGTTTGTTTGTCGCACAAATACTTCCATCATCTCTAAAAGATTTTTTCTATTGAATTTTCATCGAGAAAAATATGGTCAATTTTTTTTTAAAACCTATTTTTTTTACTCTAAAAACTCTAAAAAAGGGCTGGAAAATTATTATAGCAACTCATTGTTATTATTTGTTATCAGAAGATGATAATATCGTTAATATAATTTCTAGTAACAACAAGGTTAAACAAAACAAACAATTTTTATGTGATCGTACGGACTTTTCATAAAATATTACACTGCTAATAACTACAAGTCCCGATTTCCAAATTCCACGAAAAAGATTTAACGTTTAAAACCGAAAACGAGGTCGGTGACCCCATTCTTAATTGGCTAATTGTAAAGCTTTTACCAAGCCTCAACTGAAAATGAAACTTAAAGAAGATATTATTGGTAGATCTGAATAAATGGATTTGTCTTTAATCAAAGAAACAGTTTTGTTGATATTGGTTGCATAAATATTAACATAACATTAAGTGGTAACATCTGGTCAAATTATACGTCATTATTTAAAACATTAATTTCTTCAACAACGAATTTAGCTAATTACACTCAATTACAAATCAATACACATGACTGATACAATTAATACAGATGAATTCACATGACTGATAAAATTAACCCATAACATATGTTTCCCTTCAAATAATGTACAATGAATTACTCATAGTAAGGTTCACCATCGAATACTTATTCATTTTCACACAATTTTTCCTTAATAGCCGTTTTATATTTTATGTTTTGTTTCCTTTAAAGGATGATCATGTCACACGAATTACTCATAGTAAGTAACAAACAAATACATTTTTTATATTCACACTTTTTTCCTTAATAGCCGTTTTATATTTTATATATATGGGAGATTTGATGGACCTGCATGGTACTGTTTTCAGTTGTCGCCAATGTAGGCGTTAGTTCAGAAATTGATTCAAGCGTATTTGGTACAGTTTCTAGGTCGAGATTGAGGGAGCAGTATTTCGTACATTCAATTCCAATGTACGAAATACTGCTACCGCAATCTCGATCTTGTTTTCGTTCAGGTTGAATGGAGTTTACATGGTACATTAGCTTTGTAAATATACTATCAACTACAAAAACATTTTGATTGGCGTCTTTTCAAATTTACTATCAACTACAACACCTTTTTTGTTGGCGTCTTTGTTAGATTTATTTGTATGTGTGTTTGAATGTTATAGTCAGTTGTGATGTGTGTTTACACAATTTTGGCTTCTTGGTCCCAATTATTGTCACATTTACCTGTTATGTCTGTTAGAGTTGCTCACCCAATTGTGTAAATATAACGGAACTATAAACAACTGTCATACAAGTGGGAGTTTTAGCTTACCCACAGTTTTCTGCGATAAATGCCTGTACCAAGTCAGGCATATGACAGTTGTTTTCAATCGTTCCGTCGATTGATTACGTTTGATTTTGCCCTTTTTTATGGTCTTCCCCCTTTTGAATTTACCTTTGAGTTCAGTATTTTTGTTATACATTTTTGGATATATATGATCGAGTGATGTGTAGTCGGTATATTCGCTTGATTTAGATCAATCTAAGTGTACTTGGTACTTTCTTGTGGTTTTAAATAGAGGGAAGTGTATTCTATACAATCGGTTTGTTATGGCATATTTGGTACATTCGGTTGGTTACATACATACATACATACATACATACATACATACATACATACATACATACATACATACATACATCTACCAATACGATGTCAGCTGATAGGAACAAATAAGGTCAGAACTAAGGAACAGTTCAATGATGACATTACGTGGACATTGCTACCTGCTTGGGGATACCTGATCATATAACAGATTGCTAATGAATAGATGCTTGATACAATAACTAACAGCGCGATACAACTACATGTACGTTTTTTAAAGGTTGAAATTTCCCTTTTCATGAAAACTCAACGCACATACATTAATGACGGCAACGCAATTCCAAGTTAAACTATCAATGTGCGTCATTATCATGATAGTTTGTATTATGTCTCTCAATGCAATCCTTGAATGTTTCAGAACATTTCACCTGTACTTTTAGAAAAGAAGATTTTTTTAAAATTGGATAATCCGAATCAGTGATCTCTAGTGACCACACTTTTGGCCCGATCAGAATTAAATTACGATCGTAATATGTAAAGGAGCCTCAATAAATTAAGCATGCCAATACAAAATAACACTATATAAATTTGATGCATCAGAAGCGCTTTTCTGGTTTTACTTTCATCAGGATTAATCAAACTTACATATTTTAAATTCAGGGATGTAAATATAAGTAGAAACGTTAGGAGCTCTCTCTATATATATATGACTTAAAAAGAATAGCCAATCTAAGGTCAAGTACCAATTGTTAAAATAGGCATGGACATTTCAGAGAAAATGATGAAAATATGATTTCCCATATGGTTTCAAAGGGAACTATGTGCCAACAATGCCACTTTTTGTACTGCCCGATCAGGAAAGTTTGTATAGAGAGTCTCCATGCTGTCAATCCTCTGAATTTAAAAATATTCCCAAATAGTGGTAGAGGTTTTATTTTATTTGATAGATTTGAATAAACGATTTTCTCTGTTGACCTGTGTTTATTTTACTGATCGGAATCAAATGAGGAAGGGGCCAGCCGCCTCGATGGCCGAGTGGTCTAAGTAGTCGAAATATTGTACCACATCCTGTCAACATCGAGGTTGTGAGTTTGAATCCCTCACGTGGCAGGTGTGCTCGACTCTAATCTTAATTGACTAGGATTGTTTGTTTTCCTACCGAAGGTCGGTGGTTCTTTCTGGGTACTCCGGCACCCTCCACCAATAAAAACTGAACGCCAAGAAAGAGCAAAATAGGGTTGAAAGTGACATTAAGCACCAATCAACCAATCAATCAATCAATCAATCAAATGAGGACTGTTCGTAGAAGGCTTTTCAATATATAATTCTACCAAGTATGGTCAGAATATGATCTTTAATTTTAGAGAAGAAAATTAAAATACAGAAAAGTTTTCAGACGGACGTCAAATGATGACAACAGCTCACATTGCCCATCAGGTCAGAAAAGCTTAAATGGAGTTATGACAATGCCATCTTCCGAATGAAATTCGTATAAAAAAAAAAATGTTGAAAAATACCACATGTAAAGCATTTTATACTAGAAATACGAAAACAATATCTTTTATATGCGCTTTAATTATCTTTTAAAATTGATAATCTCATTGTAGTCGACATCAAGTAACACAAAATCAAACATACCGTTATACTTACCTGTGTGAAATCGGATACTTCAAATGACTTATATACTACTAGAACCATTTCTGAGTCAATATGAAAAATGAAAATCCATATTATTAGTATTCAAATGTCACATAAACAAAAAGATTCAACATAAGTTATATACCACTGTAAAGACAAAGAAGTTATGTAACCAATGAACAGGTAAGGAAATAGTTTGATACTTAGTTCCTTTTTAAAAGTTTTTAGATGCTGCTACATTCAGTAATCTCTTAATTGAAAATGTACATGTACATATGAAATTATTAAAATTTTATTTATTCTGACTTCTATTTCTTGATGTGGTAAATCAAGTTATCCTGTATGAATTGTACATGTTCCTCATCACGCTATCGAAGAGACTTTCATTTCTATCTTGACTTCTAAGCTTTGTTAAGAGGAATAATAATGTCAGATATTCTATTAAAATATATCCACATCTACAGCTGAATGCATATTTAGCCGGCTGGATTTGCTGACCGATTGTGTATATACGGGAAATCGCTATTTACTAAAAGGTAGCTATAGAGACCTCATCCAAATCATTCATGTTTTGGTCGATAGCTAATAATTTAGGCTTATCTGCTTATTCACAAATATATAGGCAAACAATGCGAAAAAGGAATTAACAATGAGGTTTAAAATTTCCTTAATACAGAACATTTTCTGTAAGAAATATTTGTTTAAAACCGAACATTCGACTAAAAGTAATTGACAGTTTGCAGCATAAAATCAACCAAAAACGGATTGTTTATTTCTTTTTATGTGTTTCCGTACACTGGCTACAGTATTTCTTTTTATGTGTTTCCGTACACTGGCTACAGTATTTCTTTTTATGTGTTTCCGTACACTGGCTACAGTATTTCTTTTTATGTGTTTCTGTACACTGGCTACAGTATTTCTTTTTATGTGTTTCCGTACAACGGCTACAGTATTTCTTTTTATGTGTATCCGTTCACCGTCTACATTATTTTTTTTTTATGTGTTTCCGTACACCGTCTACAGTATTTCTTTTTATGTGTTTCCGTACACCGTCTACAGTATTTCTTTTTATGTGTTTCCGTACACCGTCTACAGTATTTCTTTTTATGTGTTTCCGTACACCGGCTACAGTATTTCTTTTTGACAGAACACTTAACCTTTTGGTCATATAGTTTTCACGGGTTCAGGTATTTATACATTTCTGTCTTTCAAGGTTTTGAATTTGAACGTTCCTGAAGAAAGTAAATGAAGAATAGCGCTTCTGACACACAAAATTAAGTGTAAGTTTTACTCAAAGATGTTTTTTTCTGAAAAAACAAAAACTGTTGTGATGTGTACGTTTGCAGTACTTTATGCTTAGGATTTTAATTTGAAAAAAAAAATGCAACTGTACAGAATTGTGACCAATTTCACACAGTATATCCATGGTTTGTTTATTTCAACACAAAAACCTTTATTCTATCCTTAATTCCGTCTACAATTACAATTAGAATTGAAATAGGAAAAACAAAATCTATATTTCATATAATTTCATCAATATACGTGGGTCGTTTATGTAAAAATATGTTACATGAATTTAATTACATATCAATGTATATGAACCAATACACAATACTATTGACTATTTGTAACAAAATTGAACAAGGTAAGAAACTACTTCGTAGAATTATTCTTGTAGAGCCGATTGCTTTTCGAGAGATTATTTGTCAGAAACTGAAATGCGACAGTATTTAAACAGGTTTATCATCCTTTGATGATATATGATTTTTTTCTTCTCGTTTCATGTAGTGAATTAATATATAACCTGTATATACATGTTAATAACTGATTTTTGACATTCTAATCTTTCTAAAACATTCCGTTTCTCATTTACAAAAACATACTTGTAATTTGTTTACATCTTATAAAACTAATATTAAATATAGATATGTATGTGTGTGACAACTTTATGACAGACATTCTCCTTCGGATTAACACGTGATTATACAGGGATAACACCATAATCTATATATATATATATAATTCGTCTAAAATTTAGCCCAACAATGTTAGTTCTTCAAATTTGCGTAAGCAAATTTTTGTTCTTCTCTCTGCGGGATTCGAACTCTTGCTTCTGTGACATCGGGGCAACACCGCCTGCACCGTGTCCAGCGCCCTAGACTACTCGACCACTTAGGCTATATAAAAATATAGCTTTCGACTTGATAAAGCTGACGAGGGAAGGCATTGCTCGACCACCGAAAGCTATATTCTTATATAGCCCAGTTCGAATCCAGCTGAGAGAAGAACAAAAATTTGCTAACGCAAATTTGAAGTTCTATTATTGTTGGGCTGAATTTGAGACGAATGATATACTAGTATATAAACATAACGACATAAGAAAGGATTTTAGATGTTAGACACTTTTTTATTGCTTGTTTTTTTCAAGAAAATTTGTTGCCTTTGTGGTATTTTCCGATGGACTCGAGGTACCATTTTTCGAATATCTGAAATATTTGTCCTGCATATTATGTAATCGAAATAAAACTTGTGAACAATGCATGGTTTTATAATATCTAATTTCAATCATGAATAACAATATTGATTACACACGTTTCATAAATATTGTAAATTTCTTTTCGTTGATGGTCATTTTGTTTTGCATTTTGCACGCATTTGTTATGAAACCTGACATGTCAGTGATCCTTACATGGATAAGATATAAGTAACTTTTACAACAAGAATATAGTGCAAATTTCACATTCGTGATCGATCCTGCCTGTAGAATTAATAAATCACAGCTTTATGCAACATTTGATAAACATTTGTGACATATCTAATCTTTTGCGTTTCGACGAATTCACATTTTACTATATATATGCTAAGTTTAATAACTGATCTTTGACATTCTCCCCTTTCTAAAACACTCTATTTCTCCATTACAAAATTTGTCTTTTGATTTGTTTATTAATATTTCAGGCTACCCTATACAACTCATAATATAATATATAAATATATTTATATATCTTTTTTCATTTTCATGCCTAATATATCATGTACTGTGTTACAACTCTAGATTCTACTGACGAGGAAAGTTAACACTAGGCCACCGAAAGCTGAATTTTTAGTTCAGTCTAGGTGGCCGAGTGGTCTAGAGCGCTGGACACAGTGCAGGCGGTGTTGTCACGATATCCCAATAGCATGAGTTTGAATCCCGGCGAGGGAAAAACATAAATTTGCTTCCGCAAATTTGCAGATTTAACATTGTTGTGCTGATATTTAGAGTAACAATGTATAAATATATAATCTCTAAGAATTCCATCCATTTTGGCATGGGTCAGCTTCTGAAAATAAACTGATGCAGTTACTAAATTAAAATTATACAAATGTCTAAGAATATAACTTAATCACGCTAATTGATACATTAAAAAAGTTCTATTAGATTTTAAAAAGATATACACTACTAGTATTCGCTAGACAAACTAGCTTCATCAGGCGTGTACATCTATCCAGGTGAAATCGGATATATGACAAAAAATATTTTTGTAGCTTAAACTACACACAGTTGGAATAAAAGTTTAACATATTTATTGATGTTGTACAAATTGTACGAATTTCAAGATTATTGTTTTGATTTGTTTTTAAATCTTTTCTCGTCATGCCCTTCTCTTAATATATGTCTTGTGATTGGGCAGTTTCTTTTTTTTTGTATAAAATGACCGATGGTTATTCAGTCGGATGTTGAAAGGTGTTTCTGTTTCACCAACATTATATATATATTGTTCTTCCCTCTGCGGGATTCGAACCCTTGCTTCTGTGACATCGTGACAACACCGCCTGCACCGTGTAAAGCGCCCTAAACCACTCGACCACCTAGGCTACAAAATATAGCTTTCGGTGGTCGATGAGATGCCTTTCCTCGTCGGCTTTATCAAGGGTTGTAACACAGTACATGACGTATAGTGGCAAGTAGATGGTGTACCTTTCAGATCAGCTATTTTGTCTGTCGTTAAGGATGATAAGTATAGATTATTACATGGCATTTTTCATATCAGACCCTTTATCGGCCCTAGGTCATGATATCAGCCCAAGAGCCGCAGGCTCGAGGGCTGATATCACGAACGAGGGCCGATAAAGGGTCTCATATGATAAATGACATGTAATTATCTTTTTATCATAATTTTTTTTATACTTCAACAGAAGAAATACAGACAAGAACTATAAGTTAAAATTTTGTCTTTCTATGAATTTTTAGATAATAATTTACAGACAACCAAATACAAATTTCTTAACTTTAATTGATTTTATTGATAATACAAGCATTTTATTTATCTTGTCACAACAATTATCATGTTCTTAGTTTGAAATTTGCTCCTCAACCATTTTGTGAAAAGTCTTAAAATCACTTGCGGTTTTCCGCACTGTGTTGTCGTTTTCGAACAAATTTCCGGAAATGCACGAAGTTGCATGTGATAAACGTCACAATAAACCTGGAAATCCTTTCATAGCCTTTTAATATTTTTAAATGTTATGGAACTGTAAAATTTTAGTAATATTCTATACAAGTATATGATAATGTTAATTACCATGCCGCCACATCAAATTCTAATTTTATCATACACGTCTGAACATGTGACAACATTATGACAGACATTCTCATCAGATAACACGTGGTTATACAGAGCTAACACCATAATATATATATGGTTCGTCTCAAATTTAGCCCAACAATGTTAGATCTTTACATTTGCGTTAGTAAATTTTTGTTCTACCCTCAGCGGGATTCGAACCCTTGCTTCTCTGAAATCGTGACAACCCCGCCTGCACCGTTAGCCCTGTATAACCACTTGTTATCTGATAGAGAATGTCTGTCATAAAGTTGTCACATGTTTAGACGTGTATAATACATTTTAAATTTGATGTGGCGGCATGGTAATAAACATTATCATCCTTTACGACAGACACACGCGTACCAAACTTTGTGATAGTTGTTCGGTTTTATGAATGAAGTCCAGTGGATTTCATTGATAAATTGACGCAGATGGACATGAACACGTGAGGCTGCTGCACTGATATATGACGTCATTGACTATTTTTTTGAGTATCAAGTCCTGTCGATGATCTTGAAAATATTAGGAAAAATGTAAAAATTGCCGATAATATCAAATATCAGCCGTTAAATTCCCAAAAAGGAAAACAAAATAATTGAGAAAAAGAAAAGATAACCATTGACGATGTGCCTAACTTGAACAGACGCAAACACGATTTTTCGAGATTAAATAGTTTCTAAAGATCTCAAACTCCTTATCATTATCTTGAGCTGTCGAACATAAAACATGAAAAAGTTTGTTACGAGAGTTGTGTAACGGTTTTTATTACAGAAAATGTAGGTTTGCCAAATTTAGTCTTTTTAAATGAAGGAAACCTTTAATTTCCAAAAAAATATCAACTTTGTTATTGCAGCGTTTTAAAACATTACATCTTTTACCAAAACAAGAGAGACTAATAGTTTTGTTACATATTTTTGCGAGCATTTATCTGTCATGGCCGTTCAAAAGACGTTTAAAAGGTAATACAAAATTTTAATCAATGCTGAAATTGTGCGTTATATTTTGCAAATCAGTATAACAAAAATACCGAACTCTAATATAAATTAAAAAAAAAAGGAAAGTCATTAAAATCTGACAAAACCAAACGTATAATCCAACGGAACGAGTGAAAAAACAACTTTCATATTCCTGACTTGGTACAGGTATTTTCCGAAGAAAATGGTGGGTGAAACCTAGTTTTATAGCTAACTAAACCTTCCACTTGTATCACAGTTGTTCATAGTTCCATTATATGGACAAAATAGGTGAGCAAACCAACTGCAAAACATAAAAAAATATGAATAGTTCTATTATATTTTTCAGATGCCAAAATTGTGGATTTCATACGTGAATAGTAAACAGTACCAATTATGAAATCCGTGGGAAAACATGTGGAAGAAACTTCGTATACTTTTAATGGCGCTATTCAAGACTGTAACTATACTTTTTCTCATCTGCATCCTTGCAAATCTCTCCTCCAATTCCAGTCAACAATCAAAACATATAACATCAGTTGACAAGAAGCTTTATGCAAGAGTGCACGCTGATAAAAGTAATGTTAACTCAATTGTTTCTCATACGGTGTCACCAAAAAATACGGATTCAGTTGTAGATAAAAACAATACTATAAAAGTTCTAGTTAAAAACAATACTTCAAAAGATTTAGTCAAAAACAATACTACAAAAGTTGTAGTTAAAAATAATACCACAAAGAGTACTCAAATTTACGAATATTCATTTTCATACCTTCATGTTCCAGTTCAAGTGTGTTCATCAAATGGTGCAAAGTCCGATCCTTTCTTGCTTATTGTGGTAAAATCTGATGTTAACCATATAGCCCATCGAATAGCTATACGAAAAACTTGGGGAGCTTCATCTAACTCAGGAATAAAAGTGGTTTTCCTCCTTGGATATTCACCGTTGATGAAACCATTTATACAAATGGAAAGTAACATGTATAAAGACATTATACAACAGAACTTTCTAGACGATTACCAGAATAATACATTAAAAACGATAATGGGTTTCAAATGGGTTGCTACCCATTGCAGTGGTGCAAACTATATCTATTTTGTAGATGACGACTACATTGTGAATATCAAATACATTTGGGATCATTTGCATAGATTGTATGTTTCTAAAAAGCGCAGTGTGTTCTTGGGATACGTCTGGAAAGATGCCAAACCTCAACGGAACGCTAAATCTAAATGGTTTATTCCAAAAGGTGATTTTAAGGATGATGTTTGGCCACCATACGCCAGTGGTGGTTCGTTAGTATTGACCGTTGATATTATTAATAAACTATTGTCTCAGTTCAAATTCATAAAGCCAATATTTATAGATGACGTATACCTAGGTATTGTGTGTAAAGAGTTACAGATTTCTCTAATTCATGAATCAAGGTTTAGTATACGTTATCAACCAGATAGAATGAACTATTTATTTTCATCACATGGATTCAGCTCTCCAATGAAATTAGTTGAAGACTGGAAGAAGTTCCATATTAAATATGATATGGTAGTGTAAACCACGGCTGTCATTCGGTATATCGAGAAAAAATTATCGTGAAAGAATAACTAACGGTGGTCAAGCATTGGGATCAGATCGTGAAAGATCTGGTATCGGATCGCGAAAGATCTGGTATCGGATCGCGAAAGATCTGGTATCGGATCGTGAATGTAATTAATTGTAATTCTACTTCAAAATCTGTGAAAAAACCGCTGTATTTTCAAAACGCGGAACACATCCGAAAAAAAAAATATGTCTGTCAAAATGATTCAACTTTGTCAGTAATACTGTGCAATAAGATAAAGAAAATATGCAGTACTTTATGAGAAAACACAAAAGGCGCAACACAAGTCTATGGGATTCATTAAAAAAACACGTTTTGTACCTATAATAGTCACATTCCAATATATAATGATAAATTTGAAACTGAATCTTTAGTGTGTCAGACAGTACAGTAAAATACAAGTTTTTTTTCCCTTTAAATCGTTCATATTGTTTTTGAAAACATTGAATTTCGTTGATTTTTCATCAAAATTGATCGTAAAAGATCGGGCAACGCATTTTCTTGATCATGAAAGACAAGGCGTGACCTAACAGACGCAGGACGTTTGTGATTTTTTACCTGTAACACTAAAGGACATTTGCGCTTCAAACACTTATTGACATTTGCGCTTTAAACTTTGATACCCCTGTAGAAAATTGACAAGACATTTGCGCTTTTTACCTATAACAGTTTACCTGTAATCTTTAGATAATTTACCAAAGTCATGGAAAGATAGTTCACAAATTCTTTGAAAGTTCTTCCGAACAAATGACAAAATCTGATTTTTTTTTCTGGGGAAACCAGACATATCATAAAAAATAAAGTATACGTTTCTGTGTAAATGATAGAGAAAACGAAACTTTTATGGATGAAACACATTTAAATTTTGACCGAAATTCTTCAATTAGCTTTCTAAGTAGTGGATTTAGAATTGGAAACTTTATTCCTCTTGTGTCCATTCTGTTGCATGAATAGTCCGAGAAACTGTACCATCATAGTTTATATAAGCTTGTTTCAATTTGTGAAGACCGAAATTTTATTTTTAAACCACCTGCTGTACCTGTTGACTTTTAGAAAGAGTCATGGTTGTTAAAATGAATTAACTCCTATCCACCCTCTTGGAGGGTTGTCGTTTTCATCTGACACAAGCATAATGGGGAAACGTTGATGCTTTTAGCTGTATATAAATATATGAATGTTTTGTGTTTTATTTTTATATTAAATGTTTTTTATGTTATGTTGATAAAGCGCAAATGTCCTATTGAAAAAGCGCAAATGAACCTGTCCTTTTTTAAAAAGCGCAAATGTCCTAAACATTAAAGTGCAAATGTCCAATTAAAAAAGCGCAATTGTCCTACCAAAAAGCGCACACGTCCCGGGGCGGACCAGCCTTAATAATCAGAAAACAATATTTCTTTTACCAATTGATATACTTGCAACTAGTTGAAGCGTGTAATTATTTTAATAAGAACGAACATTAATGCTTTCGTTTTTTTCACTTTTTTTATTTCAAATTTTCCTATAAAGTTATTCAAATAACTAAAAACGTGTCTAGATAGGTAGATTTACAAGATGAAAGGACCTTCAGGTGTGTAAATTGTCGAAAAGTAAAAGTATATATGTTTCTATAATGCTTAATGCATCCGCCCTGGAAATATATACATGTGTACGCATTTTTTTGTGTGTGTAAGGGTTGTTATTTTTAGTTATACTAGAACACACACACGAAATCGCGGGCATTTAGAGCGTGGATGAAAGTATATAAACTGTTGTAGGATGAATTTTTGTAAAAGATTTTATGACTGGAGAATTTCAGGAAAGGTATCAAAAGTATCTTACACATGAACTGATGTCGATATAACATTTTGAATTTTTCACCAGTTCAAAATATTGGATGTAAATTCAAAGAATGTCAACGCAAAGGTCAACTATTTGTAGGAACATGAACGCACAATTTTTAGGAGGCGAGTTGCTTTATCACCATGCTTTTTGCTTCGTTGTGCAGAAGACAGAATAATCGATATGTTAATCCTTTCAATTTCAGTCACTCGAAACGGATTCCACTAATGAAATCAGATTATTATGTGATATTAGCAAATAAGAATGGAATTATGAATAGAGCCATAATAAAATACTCAATAAACAATGCGATTTGTGCACAAAACCGTCATATTTTAATGAAATCTGAAAATGGCGTCAGACTTAATAAGGTGTTAACTTTTAAGAAAGCAAACTAATTCTTATATGTGGTGCTTATTACGTCATATGAATAGAGCCATAATAAAATACTAAATAAACCACAACCACTATAAATCGACGATGTCACAATGCGATTTGTGCACAAAAACGTCATATTTTAACTGAAATGGCGTCAGACTTTTTAGTGGGAAACTTTACTATATCCATAGATTTGTTTTCATTTTCACATTGCCTGTGTCGTTATATTCGTTAATTTTATCCCTTGCTTTGCTCGGGATAAAATTCCAATATAAAGACCCAGGCCATGTGAAAATTGTCAACAAATCTATGGCTTGTATGAATTATTTCTTAAATAAAACATGATTATATACCGGTTCCAGGGGTCCCAAGAAATCGGATTTTTATCGCTTCCATGGACCGAAGGAATGTTTGATACCGGTTCCTGTAGCTCAGATACCCAAAACATTGTATGTAATCAAGAAAGAATTAAGGGTTGTTTGTAAATTAACCAAAATTCTGTGTAATTTTAAACAGCCCTAAACGGAAGTCTTGTCTATGACTTAAAAGTCTATCCGATGACGGAAACAATATCCGGACGCCTTTATTTTCGTTTTCCTCCCAAAATAACCCAAACGGAATAATCATAAGCGAGTATGACAAATGCGACTATGCATAGTTCCTATAGGACACAGATGCTTGATGATTAATTTATTGTAGAAGGAAGAGAAGCGACACACAAAATGAGGTCTTCTCATTTAATAGTATAGATAGAATGTCGTTCGTGCGTACATAGTATGACATTATTGGCTAATTTATTGTTTATTTCGTGACTGCGCTGAAATAAACTAAAAAGGTACCAAGATAACGTTATTTTCACTTGATTGTTTGAACAGTCTGTTCACAATAGCTATACGTCATTGTACCCAACTTAGTGGGGAAATTACCAATCAACGTACCTCGATTGTGCATGATGCCCAGCTTGAACTGTAATTTAGTCGATTAAGTTCTATTCTCAATCTTAAATTTGTATAAAAAATCAAAACTTATGAAGAACGGACAAATAGATTGATATTGCCATAAGGCACCTAGTCGGTGTGGTATTATAAGATAATCAGATCCAATGGCATTGAACAATTATAGCCCTTTTCACCAACAACAGAGAACCGGAATGAGTCATGAAAATCCAGTATTTGCTATACCAATTAAAAATATAATTCATCTTAAAATTGAATAATGTTTTGAACGGTTTCGTATCATCAGATCTTTCACGGTCCTTTTCAAGATCTACAAAAAGCGGTACGAGATCTTTCACGATCCGAAAAATCTATTTTTTGTAAATATTTCATTTTTTGCCAAATTTCTGATTATGCTAACACAAAATAACTTTAAGAACCATTTGAATGATTAAACAAATGGAATGACATTTTACAAAGAAAAGTTGTTTAGTCATTCGAATTATGAAAAAAATCTTGTTTGTGTACATATTTAATTTCATTGAAATGTCGAGGAGCAATCTGCCTTTTATAGTTTTGCAAAAACGGTGTACTTTTAAACATTGATTTTTCTCAGATACTAATCATAATGTTGAACCATTTTGACAGACAGTTTTATTTTTTTGTAAATTTGTCCGTATAATTCATAAAATTAGATTAGTAATTGACCATGCATATGTCTTCTCGATAAGATTTCATTCACGATCCTATGCCAGAGGTTTCACGATCCAAACGCAATACTTGACCACCGTTAGGTATTCTTTCACGATCATTATTTATCGATATACCGAATGACACCCGTGTAAACTACCTGTTTACATGCCGACTTCAATAAATTGTAATGTAAAATCTTTGCTTATATTGAGAGATGAATTTTTGCAGTGTTGTAATGCTCTCTTACAAAATTGGTGAGAAAATCGTTTAAACTTTCAATAAATAACAATATTACAATTTTAATTTTCTAACCTATATATTCTTGCTGATAAAGTCAGTATCAAAAACAAAAATGTCATTATTCTTTTTATCTGCAATTTTGTCTTTACAATATGTTTATGGTTAATAATATGAAATAAAATGAAATAGTTAGTAAACTACAAAACGTCGTGATAGTTGTTCGGTTGTCTGAATGAAGTGGCGTGCATTTCATTGACAATTTAACGTGGATAGACATGAACACGTGTGTAACCCAATGCGGGTTACAACATTTTTTAATTACATAACGACAAATGTGTAATGCATTAACAGACTATACAGGTGGTGTTAAAATAATTTTGACAATCGTAGTAGAATAAACTTTGGACAATTTATCGTACAGTGATTAAAACAATTACAGAAGTGATCATTTACAAACTAAAGTGAATATTATTCCAGTATAACTGATACATGTATCCTGCGGGCAAATACTAACCTTGTCCGAAACACGAAACCTAAAACATAAGCTAGTGCATGTATCCTGTAGACATTTAATAACCTTGTACAATACCAGAAACACAGTCGACATAAATACTAGGAAAGAAAAAGAAACAGAGGATTCCCTCATGTCTCCCCCCTCGTGGGTAGAAAGGAATTTATTTCACCACCAGAATTCATTCTAGTCAGGAGTGAAAATATACCATTATACGATCACATACCCGTGTGACAATTTGTGAACTTTCGAACAATAGAACATTTGAACTTTTGAAGCATTCATAAAATTGTAATTACGTAACAAATTATCATTGTATTATTAAAAAGACTTCGTTGTACTTGATGTTCCTGTATTGTTAACTGACGTCATTGCCTAATATTTTCGAATATCAGGGTCTGCCCATGATATAGAAAAATGTAAGGCAG